GCCATGCCAACACAGGCTGAATAACCATCACAACATAATAACCGGTTTTAACACTGGTCTATCCTGCTTTACATAAACAGCACACAGCTACACGGCATGAGAAGTACTTAAAGAGCCCGGTCTGGTCGCACATATCGACTGGCAACAGGTCAAGAGATAAGGCGGCGTTTATGGCTAGCTGACGTATCGGGATAGGGAGAAGATGCATCCTTGAAGTACTGATGAGCTAGCTAAATTACAATAAGCCGACAAACTTACTGCTACAGTCCGTATCGGCACAGCTTTTAAAGTCGGAGAACCTTTTATCCACAGCTGCAATTGAAGTAAAATTAAATAAAAGTAATAAAAAGCATTGTCTATAGTGTTTTCCTTCCATGCTGGCAGTCTTATTGACTGCCTTGGTTCTGCCGCTGGAACATGGGCACTGGGCTTGAGGAGCCGACACGTCAGCATATCAGATCCGGCTTGGGGGCAGGCACGGAAAGCTATGCACAGGATGTAGGTTTGGATTTGGCTGCTTCAGGCGACTAATTCAAATAGATGCGGTGATAAGAGAGGCACCATATGTACGGTTTCTTATGAACAGCCCAGATACCTAGGTAGGCTTACAATATGCACAAAAAGATTTAAGAATAAGATGTGAATGACATTGTCCTTCTCCACAGTTTGTTCAGCAGAAAGACCTATACATAGCCAAAAAAAAAAAAAAAAAAAGTTTAATGAAAGGAGAAAAAGGAAAATTTATACTCACGTTTTCATCTTTTATGTACTAAAAATCCAAAAGTTAGTAGACCATTGTATTCAGACTCAGTGCAATTAAGCTCCAAGTTTGGGATGCTGAAAAAGAGACAATTGTTGTGTCATTAACAACCAGCATCTGGCTCATAATGTTTGCACAATCTTAAAATATAATAAACTCAGATGATCCTATAGCGCAGAGAATATCCTCAACATCCTTAACACAAATATCATTTTACACAGTATAAACATCATACATGTATGTACATACATTATTTGATAAATAGTCAACTTCTATACTGAAACTAGTTTGCCAAGTGAAGTTTGGCTTTAGGTCCTGGTATGTACAATAGTGCAAAGGTTTTGAACACTTAAAATATTTAGATTCTCTTCCATAACCAGTACCAACAGGGAAGTGCCTGATTGGTCCCAAGTTATTTCAACAGTAGGACAATAACTGTAAACATACAGTCATAAACGATGCCATTCAGAGACAAGAAGGGTGATCTTAACCTGCAGTAAATGATATGGTCTCCACAAATCCCTGATTTCATGGAGTCAGTCTGGTAGGCTATAGTGCAGAGACAGAAGAGTTTAAGACAGCTGACATCCACAGAACTGTGTCAAGTTCTCCAGGATGCTTAAGTGCCTTTAAAACTGTGCACAAAGAGTGGTCACACCAAATACTGATGCTATTTAGGTTTATTTAAGCACTTAAGTTAATAAATAAGAACCGGTCATACAAAAGCATCCTGGGTTTACTGTTAGTGCCTAAAGCCTTCGTGTTCTCAAACAGGGGTCCTTTCTCATTAACAATCAATACTCGCTTATGCAAGCCATCTGAACACACAATGAAAAATAATACAAATAATTACAACAACACTAATGTGAGGCACGACTGTATACACAGACGCCCAATTTCTGAACGAGTCACTTCAAAATAAAGATGCAAAGAAACGGGATTGATTAGATTTCAAGGGTCAGGAATAGATTTAGAGTAAAGTGAAGTTTGTTTTGAATGTCGCGATGCGTTTTCCCCTAACCATGTTATCATGTCATGTGTTTTAAAAACCCGTGAAAAAAAAAAAAAAAAAAAAAAAAAAAAAAAGAGAGAAGAAATTCTTCGCCCCGCCTCTTCCGGCTACAACAACCAATCCTGGCGTAATGTTCTCTTTTACTTCCTTAATCGCTGTGCTGAAAGTGTGGTAAATTGTTGGGGAAAACGTGCAAAGTAGACCTGATCATGGTATAAGATACGGCAAGAATTTGCTTGCTATCAGCTGGGATTCAAAGTACGAATAGCTACTGCAGGTTAAATAGTTTTCTAATCAAATTTAGCATCGGAACCCTGGCTTAACAAAACATCTGCTCAGAAGGTAGGAAAAGAGCTACCCTTTTTTACGTATCCATAGTAACGTTACACCTGTTCACACACATTCATCCAATTTAATGTCAGTTAGCTTACCTTTGCTCTTCTAAGTTTAAATATGCAATGGTAACATAACTTATTTGGCGGCAATATATGAGCTAAATATTTGTTGCAGTATAATCTCACTCTTCTTGTCTCTGAAGAAAGGGGTTTATGACTCTGGCTGTATGATTTGGGTCGCTTCATGCTGCAAAATGAATTCCGTACCGATTGAAACTGGTATTTAAGATGCCTAAAATCTTGCACAGTACTGTAGGCAAGGCAAATTTATTTATATAGCACAGTTTCATAAACAAAGGCGATTCAGGGAGCTCAACACAATGCACACAAATATATCAAACATTAAAATGCATACAAAATGTACAGAGATAGATAAATGATTGTTCTTGTTAGTGTGAGAAGCAAGCCCTTACCAGATGTTGAGCTGAGGTTGTGCTGTGACTTTACAGCATGTGCTCCTTCAGACTATATCTGCAGCGATCATAATGTGTTGTAAATAAGCCCTACATTGTTCCTGCAGGTAAAAGGCATACATTGCCCATTTGACCAAATGATAAAAGGCCACTGTCTTACCTGAGTCTAAGGAGTGCACTTATTATGGATGAACTGGAAAGAGAGCTAGGGCCTCTTGAAGATGTAGAGGATGACGACTCTTCAGACAACAACTCTACAAAAGGAAGGAAAAAATCCAATCTCCCTCTGGTTAATCCATTGTGTGTAGGTGAGCTATGCAGTGTGTACCTACAGTTTACAACATAGTCAGATCAATAAATTGTCGGCTAGTCTCAGCTTATTGCAGATATATCATGTCTGTGCATATGTTGCCTGATAAATTACAAAAGAATCTATTACAGAAAAACTAAAAAAAAAACAAAACATGAATTCAGAAAAATCTCCATTAAACAAGGTGTTACCATAGGATTCCTATCAAAAGTGTTTTACTGTTATGTCTCTTTACATATAATGGCTATTGACTAGTATGTCTATCAGATTTATTACACTCTCAAATATATTATATTATCTGATATTAGTGTCAGAATTAGCTTTACAGGCCAAGTATGTTCAAATAGATATGGAATTTGGCTCCGGTACAGTGGCTCTCAATGTGTAAGGTACAAGAAAATGAATATATAGAAAAATAGACTGATCTAGAGACACAGACAGACAGACAGACATTCAGCCTCAAATATCCACTGAGCAATCAAACCTATAATAGTTAAATTGTCTATGACATATGCACTCATGTCATCAGATAATTTTGTTTTTTATCTTTAGAGACACCGAAGGAAACTGGGTTTCACCAGAGTACAAGGATCTGCCTGGAGCAGATCAGAGAAGCCATGCTGCATCACAGATGGCAAGAAGCTGCAGAATACATGGCATGTTACTCACAAATACTAGAAGACTCATCTAGAAACACAGAACAGCAGTATAAAGAGGTAGATTTGTTTTTATTTATTTATTTTGTATCATATATACACAGTGACCAGCCCATATGGACAAATACTATAAATCACAAAACAGTCCAGGATGAATAAAATATTTTTGTTTTAGGCTATGAAAGAAAATTTACCACAGACAATTCTCCAAAATACAACTGAATTCGTTTACAGTAATCTAGCAAAATATATGTGCTACTATTTTACACAATTTAGTAAGGAGTTATAAGCTCTGTTTTATTACAAAGCTTCTTCCGGCTCTTTCAAACCAGGAACTCACAAAGACGAAGTAGACTACTTTAGATTTTATAAAAAATAACTGTACTGGTTTATTCAGAGGATCACAGGTAAAATTAACATTACACGTCCAGATCTCTCCCACCACCAACCTGCGCGCAGGCAGCTTGGAAGATGAAAGACCCTGAACCAAGAAACCTATACAATATTAATCATTTGGTTGGGCTAGCCCATTCTACCCAGGCACGTCAAACCGTGACGTCACCTGATATGCCAGCCTGCAGCTGACCATAACAATAGTCAAAACATGAGAAAAAGTCAAGGTGTGTGGCTGTTGATTAGTGGTGTGTATCTAAGAACAATTTGACATGACATTTCACATTAAGACAAATATTAACATTAGCATTACAGTTAATAATAACAATCCTCTCTGCCTGCAGCCTTTGTCTGATTTAATTAGCCTTGGCCTAGATGCAGTCTGCAGCACATCAGAATAACTGAGCATTTAACAGCCTGAGCTAGACATCCTGTCTCCACTAAACATTTCTAGACAACAAATCTCTGAATATCTATCTAACTAAGAAATTACCTAACAAATTATGTCAGTTATAGCAACAGTTCGATGACACATTGTAGAAAGTTACCACATCCTCCATAGTATTAACTCTTTCTTTGAAATTTTCACCCCAGCTTATTTGGAGAATCAGCACTGAGATCCTTCACAATCACCCCAACTCAAAGTTGGAAGACTACAACATCATCTATGAACGAATGAAACATTCGGGATTTCGGCATTACCTGATGGTATGTTAGCTGACAGATCTTACTACACAGTGCTCACATCTCATGTTGGTGTACCAGTTTACTTTTTTGCTGAAACACATTTGAGACCCGTTCCTCTGTGTCTCTAGATCAGTCTGGAACATGCCTTCCACCTGCTGCTCCATGGCCACATTGAAGATGCAAAACGTCAGCTGTCCAATCAGAAGACTAAATTGATCCAGGCCTACAGGAGCCTGCTTGATTATATCATCTGGTGTGACAAAAAGTTTACACACTCCAACACTGGTAAGGCAATACACACACCCAGAGCATAAATTATTTCCTTGTATCAGTTATAGCAACACACTACAAGCTCCTGTGCAGTGTTGCAGTGTCACCTACAGGTCAGACACAGTAAATGCATGTGATCAAGAAACGGAAGAGCTGACTGCACTGTGAATAAATAATTTGCACATTGCTCTGTAATGTGACATACTGTTTTAAAAAAAACAGATGGAACCTGCTCATGTGTATGTGATGTTTGTCTGCCTGTTTCAGATTATCCCGACTCTGGTGACAACCAAGAGATGCACAACTACTTCAGACAAGCCTCTGTGAATCTAAAGGAGATTTTGAAAAATCCTGGTGTCTGGGATCCCTTCATACTATGTTATGTTGAGGTAAGCACTCATTCCAAACTGTCTGACTTAATTAAAGATGTACTGTGTATATATATATATCATAAGATGAAACAGTAGACTAGAGCTGCAACATTTAGTCAATTAATTGATTAGGCAATTGAAAAAATGTATCTACAACAACCTTGGTAATCAATTAATCATTTATGTAATTTTTAAGCAAAATGTTCAAAAACTGACTGTGAATATGTTTTGGTTTTTTCAGTCTTAGTACATGATATCTTTTGGTTTTGCACTGTTAAAAACTAAACATTTGGAGATGTCACCCCAAGCTCTGGAAACTTGTGATACACTTAAAAAAAAAACTATTAGTTGATATTTTGTTCCCTTGCACTCTGAATGAAACTTTGTTTTTCATGTTTTCAGGCTGAGTGTAAGGAAGTATTCTATAGGCATTGTTTTATCTTGGTAGATGCTGGAGTTCTATGAGGATCATGAGGTGGCTCTAAAAGTCCTGAATGACTATGCATATGATGACAGTTTTCCACCTAATCCCAATGCGCATGTCTATTTGTACCAATACTTAAAGCGGCATGATGCATCCGAGAGGAAACTGATGCAAGAGTTGAAGGTATAACTGCGTACTGAAAGCACTTTAGACATATAAATGCCACTTCAAATTTAAGATAGAGTATACTTGTATTAATCTTTGCTTCCTTATGTTGTAGAACCTCCATGTTTTAGTCCCAAGCCATGAGTTGATGTTGGAGTACAGCTCTCTCCTGCTTCAGTCAGGTAAAATCAGACTTGACCATTGTTAAATAAACTGTGTTCATACCTCTGTGTTCCTTTGTTTTAACCTTGCCTCCCAATAATGTTTTATCTCTTCCATAAAATGTACTGTATATATTTACGTCCTTGTTATGTTTCAGACAAAAAAGGTGACATCCAGAAGGCTTTAGGGGTTGTTCTGGAAATGCTTGACTTTGCTTGCTGGAGGATCAACCTGGATGTGTGGAAGCGTTTAAAAGCCATTATTCAAAAATTACACTTACAGTATGTACGAAATGTTCAGAGAACTGAAGTCCAAGTTTTGATTAAACTTTTAACAGACTAGTTTTTTGTACATCACTTACAGCTGTTGAAGCCTGTTGTTGTGTCTATTTGTATATCAAAACAGAGAAGACTGGAAGGATGTTGTTTCTGGAGAAATGGCTGGAAGAAAAGACTGGTGGCCTGCGCTGCACTTCACAAGCTTCCATGCCTGTAAAGACTCTGAGGAAAACCCAGAGCTGATGGAAGTGAAGGCATCGCTGACAAAAATCCTCTGCCCAGGTAAGTCAGGGTTTAGTACATCTGCATAAAATCACCCAAATTGTATCATCATAATGATTTACTGTCATCCCTGTGGATGTCAGAATCAATTTTGAATGTTATCTGTATTGATAGATGTAAAGATTTACAGACACCATTTTGGCCAAGAGATGCCAGTTGTATGCAAGTCAAGATCTGTCCCTACATTCTTATTATTCATTATGAATACATGACACTTACTGCCACTCTTCAAGTCTTAATACGATTTTAATTCCACAGGCATCTGCTAGTGGTAGTATGAAAACACTGTGGGAGCCACCAATGCACCAGAATAATTTGAAAACAATTGCACAATCACATAAAAATTTGACACTAAGGAGCTTTTATTAGCACACTGGCTTTTTATATACACCACAAAATCATCTAAATTTTATATAAATTAGCTCTTGGAAACTGACCTTTATGTGCATAAAAGTCAGAAGTTCTTACATTTTAAGTAAAGAGAAACTATAATGACATAATTATTGATTTAAGTAGTGAGAGTTAGCAGCATAATTGTACAGGTTTGCTATTGTAGGCATTTAATCTCAAAACAGTTGAAGTCTGAATGGAAGCATTACATATAGTATAGATCTTACTATGTAATTTCATTTTCATTTTAGAATTTGGCTATTTAGAATATTATTTTTATTGTTTGTTCTTGCAGACCTAATGCTTAAGTACACTGCTGAAAGGGTGACCAGTGGCACGTGGACTTGAATGAAGAAAGCAAAAAGAATATCAAATTGTGTCTTCAAACATTTCAGAAGAAAGGAGATGCTGTGGGGAATCATGTCAATAATTCTGGAAAAGGTGCCTTAATGAAGAGCATGAGTCTTCATAAATGCAATTTTCACAAAACCTTTTTTCACTGTGTTCCTGATGTCAAAAATGGACCTCTATATTTTTCTTTTCCTTTTTCAGCATTGTTCCTTCATGTGTAGTTAATTGTGCCATGAGCTTTATCGTGAGAGTACAAGTTACATTGTCCACCATGTGGAGCTGTTGTTCTGTGTTTCTGCAGGATCTGGAGGGTATGACCACCTGAATTTGGCAGAAACTAGTTATAACTCTGAGTGCCAGGTTGGCCTCATGGTTTCTGTAAACAGAGTCTCATTTTAACCTCTGTCTGCTGTGTGAAGCGGTTTTATGGTCTCTTGCACACCACACAGTCTGAGGGATTCTCTCTGTCACCTCTGTGTCATGTGAGAATACTCATCAGCGTAACAGATCATTGACAGGTGGTTACTGCTAACAGCTTTAAACTATTTAATGTTTTCTTTGTCATAACTGACTTGTGGTCAGCTTGTACATGTGCTAGTACTTTGGCCACATATTGTCACTCACTGCCAGTCCTTTATTTTAAAGCTCTGACAAGGTATCTTGTCATAAAGAGGCTCAATATTTTGTGTCATGTTTTAAAAAGGAGTGATTTTTATCTGCAGAAGAAGGTTTCTAATGGCTTGACAGAGTCCTGTGCTTACTCTCCTGAGTCCTTTGCACTGAACTATGACTCTGGTATCAAGCAGCATGCCAATTTAATAAGTGAAAGTGTTTGTAATGATTCTGATTTGGCTTGCCACAATGTTGGCCATGCAGCAACTCAAGTCAGCTGTACTGTGTGTGTTTTGCTTTGCAGTCATTATATAAACCAAAGCCCAAAGCACTTGCCCGACCACAGGAGCAGCTGCAGAAGGGATCTGCGAATACATAACAACACATGTCGTTTGAAAATTCTAAACTCTGAGAACAGTGAAGAGGATCGAGGCAGGAGTGAGTCACTGCTTTGGACTGTGTCCTGTTTGAGACTCTTTTAAAGCTTTTTAGAGGATTTTTGAATTTTTAAAATCACACCAATGCTTCTTCCTCAAGGGCACTGTGATGGGTTAGAGGTCATTTTTATGCCCTTGTGCCAGCAACAGCCATGGCCACTAGAGGCATTATGTTTTTGGGTTGTTTGTCCATCCATCTGTATGTCTGTCCATACAATCAGATGGCCCATTCTTGTGAACTCGATAACTCAGGAACACCTTGAGGGATTTTTTTTTCTTCCAAATTTGGCATATGTCCACTTGGCCTCAATGATGAACTGAATAGATTTAGGGGGTCAAAGGTCACTGCATCCTCAAGTCCCATTCACATTAATTTGACTGACTGGTGAAGACATACACCTGCAATGAAGTGAAGAAAATAAGATGTGGTTTTGTATTTGGGGGTTATGCTGAGCTAAACAAATCCATTGCTGGTGGTATCTTAATGTATTTGGGGGTTATGCTGAGCTAAACTAATCCATTGCTGGTGGTATCTTAACATTTAGCATACAGACTGCGGGTGGCATCTATCTTCTCATCTAACAACCAATAAGAGAGCGAAAAAGCATATTTCCACATAAAACCATCATTTAGCAACAGAAAATGCACATTCATGAGCTCTTTTTTGTAAGATAATCTTTGATGGTGATTATGTCACATATCTGGTTGTCTAAGAGCACAATAAATTATTAAGAACAATGCGAGGTGGAGGGAGTGTTACAGGGTTACGAGCTGATGAGTACAGTAGCATTACTGGCCACTGAGGAGCTTCATTGGTTTCACTGGCTGGTTCACTGCTCAGTCTGGGTGAAGCAATGATGTAGTTTCATCTGGGAGTGTTGTTGGGACACAGCACTGTAAACTCTATTAGGTAAAAGAAAAAGAAATCCCGTCTCTGTCAATGTGATGACTCTAACAGGCTCTTTAAAACATCCCCTAAGCTAAGGAGAATTTACGGACATTGTTGGGCAATCCCACTGTGAACTGACATGTATAATAATTGTGTAATTAATCTTAAGTGCAGGTTGCAGACTGAATCTATTTGCTGCTGAGAAAAAAGAAAACAAATCATGTAGGGAGAGATGTTTTAATTTTATGCCTGGGATAGAAAGGCCCTGGGTGTTGCTTTGTTGTGTGAAGTTGACATTAATTGAGTTTCCCTTCCCTTCAGTTTCACACCCTTCTCTCTGAACACAAATACACACATAGAGAGACACGCACTGCAGTCGGTGACTCAGGGTTTAGCTTGGTTGGTCTGCAGGGCTCTTGGGGATTTGTAACCTAAAATCCAGACTTGCACAGTGACAGTGTAACATCTCAGTAACTCTGTAAGACATTTGAAGCCTGGTATTGTTTGAGGGTGGGTGGAAAAGAGGGAGATGGAGGGAGAACGCGTGATAATTCAGCTATGCAGTTTGGACTTAACATATCGTGTTCGCCAGTGAGGCATGTTACAGGGAGGAAGGAGATGAAACAGAGAAACATGATCATCCTGAAAATATGAGGATGATCTCATGAATAAAAATTCTACAAAAGTCAGTTTTAAATCTTATCATTTTTACTTTTGCTGTGGTGCAGAAAGGGCAACATATAATGGGTCTATTCTAAACCTTTCTGAACAGCATGATTGTTTACAGCATACTCATGATACTAGCAGATGCTAAAACACAAATTGCTTGAGGGGAAGTCTTATGGCTCTTCAGGAAGAGGGAGAAAAAAAATCATAAAAATTCCTCCCTGTTGTCTGTGAAGTTGAAAGTGACAACTGCAATACTTTGTTCTGGGAGTGCAGCTGCAAAAATAGCTTTCAATAATGTATTAGGAGAATAAAGACTGGGAGCTGATTTCTGGGGCGACGCTCAGCTCGGCACACGCGCCAAGACCAGGAGCTTTCTCTGCTGTGCAACAACTGTGTGAAAAGATCAGGCCGGTGAACACAACTGATCTTTTTGACTTCTAGGACTGCTCTACTTATCCAGCTAAGAAATAAAATTGTCACCTTGGAATAAACAGCTGATCCCTCTATTTACATCTGATCTCATATCTTCACTATGGTACCCAGACAAAATGTTGCTCATGCAGCTGAATACTCAGGTTTTTCATTCTTGGAGCAGAGGACAAGCACTACAGACTCTGAAATGCAAAGTGCCTTGACCAACAGAGCATTAACCTGAGGCTATAGAGGTTTAATTTCTTGTGGGCCTGTGTGTGATAAGTGCCAATCCAAATGTTGTGACAAGCTCTGTGAAGGCCAGCCAAGTGGCAGAAAAGCCCCTAAACAACAGAAATCCAGGCATTAATTATTAATAGTGAGACAATCTACAGATGATACTTGTGGAAGGCTGTTTGTTTTTCATTTGCTTGACAGTATCGTGGGTGGTTTGACTCAGAAATACTGCATCCAGAAGTGAATATCTTAACATAAGCAAAGGACATTGAACGTTTTTGGCTGTCCTTGTTCCCAGGTTATGGAGCAGTCTCTGCCTGAGGGATGTTTAGTGGGGTAATTCAAGGGGTTTAGTTTTGTTGGCTCACAAACAAGCTGAAATGTTCAAATGTTTAGTCTCTCTCTGGTTCTGAAAACTTTGCAATCCATACTTTCTATGTTGCAGCTTTCATTAGACCTTCCTAAATAATAAAATTAACAATGGTTGAAGTCCATTGACCTACTTCAGTTTGAGGGTCCTGGTATTGTTCACACTGGTATACTGTCACTCTGCTGCTGAACAATGATACAGTTAATGTTGCTTGTAACACCTGCGTCTTTACGGGCGTCAAAATGTCTGCTGTGGAAAAGGCCTTTTGTAGCTATGCTTTTTAATAGTGTTGCTTTTCTCTGTTTTATAGATTTATTCAAATAAACTGTTCTCCTTTTTTGTTTCTTTTTGTTGCATGGTATGTTTTTCTCTTTTGTAACTGTGAGCCACTTTATAACCCATTTTATGAAAAACAGTCATTATAGCCCTTTCCTGCAGGGGGCACTATAGCTATCTGCAACATAATACATGTATTTGATGTAATGCATCTGTGAAGAACTTGTTCATGGCTGCTATGAAGTCTCTTTATCTAATCCTTAAAGGTTTTTCTTTGAAAAGAGTATGTTGAGTCAGAATGTGTGAATAGAGCAGATCTGGAAAATCTGGTTGGCATCTTTTTGTGGACTCACATGCTGTAATCTTTTAATTTGTGCCCTTTTCTTGTCCTAGTGGTGAGTGTTATGACTACGTAGAGGAGGATAATGACTCCAGTTTTCAGCAAACATGTAATCTTAGATTTTCACATCCCATTTTGTTTCCCTTTTTCAAATATGAAGGAAAACATAATGGATGTTTATACTATGTGAGAGGTGATATCATCCACCAACAGACCCACACACCCACTTGTCAACCCTGCAGTCTGGAAATGGTTGTAATCCTCTGAAACTCTGCAGGTATATTACCAGGTAAGTTGAATGATTCTTTGAAACAGTTTTCCGGAAACTAACCTGCTGAAACTGGCTCATGTAAGTTTATATGTGCCCAGTGATTCATGTTGTCTCCACTTATCTGTAATTCTGTGGCAGCACACTGAGCAAAGAACAAAGAGCTTGACCTGACCCCAAGAAACCTTGTTTGTCAATGGTTGCATAATAGGGGATTGTGTGGTTGGAAAATACAACAGAGCCTGGTGCATTTTGAATGAATGTGGGAGCTGGAGAGCGTGGTCTGTCTGTCTGTCTGTGTCTACATTTCTCCCTTTACTCATCCTTCTCTCAGTTAGCACCTCCTCTTACCTAGTGTATATCTGGATGGCTATTTGTGCACATAATGTGGTTGAACTTTCAATATTCTGTAACTCTGACACCCAGGGAAATTTGTCATTCTGATATTTAATGCCCAAGGGTTACAGGTCATCAAACACATTAGTGAAAAAGCATTTAACCCTTTATAAGCAAACTGGAAATGATAGATTAAAGCTAATCAGGTATTCATCATCCAGGTCTCTGGGTATTTAGAGACATATTTTTAGGATCTGTGGATAGAAAGTTTGCCCGTTGGCCAACCACTTTGATTCAGACTGAAATGTCTCTATAACTACTGGATTCCCAGAGGATGAATCTTACAGTCTTTGGTGGCCCCCTGACCTTTCCTCTAGCACTGCCATGACATTAACAGCTGTGGTTCAGAGAGAAACATCTCAACAACTGCTGGGGTTTGTCATAATCTGGTATAGACATTCATGCACCCCTGAGGATGAACCACAGTAACTTTGGCAACCCTTTGATTTAGTGTCATCATCAGGTTAACATTTGCATTTGTCATCTACTTTGGTTTATAACCAAATGCGGGTAAAATAAATTACATTCCAAAACATAAGCATGCTAAACAAGATGGTTAAAAAACTATATTTTTGAAAAAGAAAGCTGAAATAATTAAAACCAGTGGGCATAACACAGACCTATAGAAGTGTTACAGTACTGAGGAGATTACTGTATTTCTGTGTTCAAGAACTTGACTATATAAAAAAAAAATTTAAATGGGCCTAAAGCGAGAAGGGTAAATACTTTCAGTACCAGCAGCTCTTCTCATTTCATATCTATAGACTTGTACCATAGTTTTACCATGTCAAATTGACTGCTCAGGGTCTTCATGCAAGCACGACTGTATTTGAAATACAGGCTGTTTTGAAATCAGGATATCGGCATTTCAAGTAAAATGTGATCTCATGGTGGAATTAGAAAGCTATCAAAACATTACATACATGTCCTTATCACTCACCTACTCTGTGTATTACTTATTGACTGTGATTGACAGTCTCAAGCCCCACACTGTATATACTAAAAACAGGTCACAGACATAGTAATTTCCTTTAACAGCTGGACACCATATACTCAATATGGAGTAAACAGTGAATATGCTGGAGACTATTTTCAGCCACGAATTAATATAGTACAAGTCTGGAGCACTAGTGAGTATTTACAGTAGCAGAACAGTGTCTGTGTGAGACTGACTAAATTAACTACAGGTCTCATGTTAATTTGTAATGAAGGAACATGTCAGCTAGTAATCAGGCTTTACAAAAGCAATACCTATTAATAGGATCAGTTGCTGCATTTGGTCTTTTAATGGGATTTGTTGACAATAACATTTATGGAATATCACCAATGATTTCCTATAATGAATATATTATTATTAAATATAATATTTGAGCTAAACAATTCAAGCTTTGTAACTTCCAGTGAATCTGTACACTAGTACACTTTAACTGGACCTCACTAAATCTGTGTGCTTTTTCTGTTGTATTCAAAAAGCTGTGATGACATATACAGGATGACACTTTGCCACTGAACTTTTTCTATGCCCTAAATGTGTTGTTTGTGTGTCTTTGTCTTGTGTTTAACTGTGAGTTAGGTCAGATTAACAAATGGTAAGGCCGGTGGTAATGCTGAATAACAGCATTA